TTTACTTTTGGCCACTGTTATTACATATGCATAATTTATAAAAAATAATAATTTTAATTCATCAAAACAGGACGATGATAATGATAAAACTTATAAAATATAACTTATTACTTTGTAGATTCTACTAACTATCATAGCATCACATCGACAACATTATTTCTACTGATACTAGGTATATGATACTTCTAAAAATTTCATAACACGTAATATTTAATGCTCACGTCTTTGTATTTTTCTTCTAACGCTCCGACATCCACCTACTATCAGACGAAAATTGAAACGCCACTCACGTGTTCACGTAAAGCAATGTACCTACTTACCTACTGCAGTGAAAATTTAAAGAAGTAATATTACAAAAAGACACTCAACTACTTTGTAGATATACCTATTTCGCTTTTATGAGTATTTTTTTTCCTCGTTAAAATTTATTTGGATAATTTGTTTTATAGCAGTTATATCAAAATCGAACATAAAATTAGACATCACTTTGGGTCGTATTGTCTGTTTTTTTTTTTAAATATTAAATCTGGTTTTTGGTGACATTTACCGTCTTATAACTTATAAGTTGTTCACGTGTTTAATATTAAATAGATATTTGTCGATATCATATACTATTGCTTTGATATTGGTTAGACTTTATGAATATTGAATGTAATCAAGCGATTATCCTTTTGTTCTCAGTAATCCAAAACCACCTTTCAGGAATAAATTTACACAGCGTATTTTGTTAGAGCCATGTCAATCTTCACGCTTGATAGTTTCTTTTGAAGAGTTCTTCTCAGGCGATCGACTGAATGGTTCGTATTTACGGTCCAAGAAACTTACCAAGCTTGCCCCTATTTACTTACTATCCCTTGTTAGATTTCTTATGGTCTTCATTTTCTTATCCTTTCTTGATTACCAAACGCAATAAACGCATTATTATCTTATAAGCTATGTAAGTAAAAGATTACACGAGGTGTAAATAGAGGAAAATGTATATTGCAAAGGTAAGAAGACTACGTGCCTCCGTAATACAGGAACAGGGTTAAAGCAAGAACAAAAAATATGTGTTTTCCTATTAGATGGTGGAATTTATTTTGTAATTTGAAAAATGTATACAAAAACTTCGGTTAAAGTAAAGCAAGGGTAATCTTCATTGTAAATATTTCCTTTGTCCATTTTACTCCTCCCTGAAACAAAACAAAGGTTTAGCATAAGTAAAGCAAGCTGTCCTTTCAATAGTCAAAAACGTTAGTTATAATGTATGTAACCGATACATATGTGTGCGGTTAGGTTACACGAGATAAATCACAGAGCCGGTGTTATACACATAACTCTTCGGCATCGGACCACTTGACATTAGCAAGGCCTCGTCCCCTAACACGGATCGTTAACTTTTGGAATAGACGCGTTAGATATTCGGGATTTCGTTTTGATTTAATGTTTCTTTTTTATTTTGTTTCACTTTTTGGATGAAAACGTTACAAACTTTTTGTTATTTATCACGCTTTTCTAAACTTTTGCTTGTTACTATGGCTTTTAAATTTGACAAACATTTCGAATGAACTTTAACGGATTTCAAGAGTTAATGCATTTTTATATGATAATAATCTAATCAACAGTAAAGAGGCTTCATTTAAAAGTCTTGACAAACTAATGATGAAAAATTGCTATTTAAAATAATAAAAAAACTAAATATTGAATATGTACTAACAAAGTTAAATCGTGAGGCAGCACATAAGGAAAGAAAAAAGATTACCACGTCGCTTGGTCTTTAAAAAGGCTTCCTTCCTGATCTTGGATAAAATATAAGAAAAAGGTTACTGGAAAGGACGAACTGTGAAATTTTTGAATGGTATCCGGTTCGGGGAAACAAATTTGTATTAAATATAATATTGTATTTTTTATGTTATGGAAAAAATATGAATTACTAGTAATGGACAGATATTTGTCGTCCAGATTTGCATTTTCTGAGTTAAGTTGATTGGAATTGCTTATAATGTAATTCAGTACTATACTTATTTTTTTATTCTTTGAATATAATAATATATTATATAATATTTTCACTATCATTTTATATACTTACGCTAACGCGACTCAATTAATTTCTAACATATTAAAGTAAACAACGTTGCTTATAAAGGTATCCTTAACCTTAAAAGATATACATTTTTTATAATAGTGTATGTGGCTTCATAAATAAAATCTGTCTCATATCTGACCCATCCAGATATTTTTAAAGCATACAATGAATTTTAAAATAGATTGTGCTTTTGATTTAGGAGAAGATTTTACTAAACTGTCGGTGGTAATAAAAGTTATTATAAATATTATATTGGAGTGAAACATAATTAAAAGGATTTTTGGTTAAGTATATAGTTTTTTTTTAATTAAATAATCCGAACATTCCATCACTTTCTAGATAACTTTAAGATTTTACAGTATTGAACTTTAACATCCAGATTGGTTGAGATTACTAAAGGGATAATTTATTTCATTACGGCCATGTCGACCCTTCCCATGAAAATCGTATGCGCCCTTTTCAAAAATCTTTAATTTCGCATAGTAATTAATTCATTTTGATCCAGTGTGGTTTTCTTTTTCTCTATTAGCTTTTTAATTGATAACTGATAAGTTAATTATATAACTCTGAATTGTGTAACTTGAAAAGAAATATTGAAAATGTTGATTTAATGTTGCTTCCGTGTAAATGTTTTATTTACATATACTTAATATGTTTACCATAAACTTATATATTATGTAACATATAAATTATATCAATTAAAGATATTGAAATAATTTTATTGGTTATAGTTTCATATTATCTGGCACTTGCATTTATAACAAGAATCGTCACTTAATTGCCAAACGAACTGCAAAAAGTAACGATGTATTTATTAATAAATCTCTGTTTATGATTTCTTATTTGGGTCAAATACGTTAAGCAAAGGAAGGAATTTTGTTGTTTCCTATAGCTTATTGTCAAAGGAAATCAAAGAAAATGAATAACCATAGTTCAAAGAATTCAGTATAAGGGAATGAAGTTGGAAGTTACGTAAAAATAAACTTTGCTCAGAGCAAACGATTACAGAGAACAAGATATTGTTTTTAATAAAAGTAAGTTAGTTTTTTTTGTCATTTGTCAGAAAAGATTTATTTGATTTTGCTCTGATAAAATGTGGTTGATGGAAAATAAGAGCAAGTTGCTGAGTATATTACAAAAACAGTATACGTTTATTTATAGTGTTTATGTCATTCAACACCGAATATTGTTGAAATTTTTTAAATGAACATTCTAGAATCAAAAAAGCATAACATCTGCTGTAGACATCTGTGTTTTAAAACCACATTCAAAAGCAAGTTTTCGTTTTAATCAGCTACATTGTTCAACGGCCGGAAATTTTAATTTATGCTACAGTAATAATTTGTTTAATTTTAAAACTATTATTACTATTATTTATTGCAAGTACGTTAAAGATTATTATTTATATATGCAAGTCACAACGAAGTTTTCCAGAAATAATCATTCAATATCTCAAGAGACGATAGTCGTCTGTGAAAACAAATACTAATAATGATAAGAGTTTATTGAAAAGTAACATTAGTTGTGTTTTTCTGATACATTTCTTTTGTTATGTAGCGGAGATAGCAGCTTATGAAATAGGAGCCTCAAATTCATAAATTCTTTACAGAGACATGCTAAGCTGGTGAAAGTGGATTATTTTTAAGTGCGAAGTCAAGTTATACTTTTTTGTTGTCATTGGCTAAAGTTTTTCATGGTTTTGTAAGTATGATTAAAAGGAAGATGCTGTGGACAAAATGAAAGAAAGCCATAAGAAAAGATAGGGGCCAAAATTATCCTGATGTAGATTCAACCCGAAAATTATGGAAATATAGCAAACTCTCTTTAATGACGTCGCTATATTTAAAATTCAACGGCACCATAATTGCTGCTATTTTAAAATTTAGACAGCTTAAGAGCACTTTTAAACCCAGATAAATTAAAGAAATAAGAAAATTAATAATGTAAATAACTTAGGAAACCCTCTATTGCATAGATATTATAATATAGAAATGACAGCATATATCAATAATGTATACGATACGCGTAGGATACGCATAACATCTCTCATAATTTTATATTTTACGAGATAAAATACAAAATCTCATTGCACCCCTTTTGAAGACATCTTGAACTTAAGCTTACACTAAGCTCTAAGCTACCATCAAAAATAATTTAATACTCTTTAATACTAAATGTAACATTTCAATGGACTTACTAGTAATACTTGTTACTTACTCATTTTATTTCCATTATTATAATCAAATAAAATAATAATTCACATACCGCGTGTTATTAATAATTAGGGTCATAACGTGCGAAAACTTGTTTCTAGATTTTATATAATACTACATATACTGCAGGTAATACGACTTTAGAATATTAATTTTTGTAATGGCGTCTATTTTTTCATTTTATTATGGTATATTTTCAAGAAATTTGAATGGATACATTTAAACAAAGCAAAAACAGAGAAAATGTAAATGGTATTAACCATAACTGAAATAGGCGTCCCAAATAGGTCCATTTATAGACGTTATTGATGTTTATTCATACTAACGGACGGGTAAAAAGCTTTTCCATTATTACGTCAAGTTATACTTTCTTAAGATTTAACATTTAAAAGGCTATAGAATATTAAGTAAAAGGATATCGGCCACGCAAAGGATCAAGTAATGGTAAATGATGTACGTTTTTATAATGTAGATTTTAATTAAGAACGGTAGGATTCACATCTTTATATAGAGAAAAGCTTTAGGTATTTTGATTTACTTCCCTATTAGGTATATTACATTTTACCATACGTTTCGAATGCTTAATAGCAATCATGATCACGGGCCGATAGGATGTGAAATTGGACTTCTATTCAAATAAAAATAATGTATAGTTATTTACAAGTTGATGCTCTTTTGTTATTATTGTTAGAATTAGGATAAATAGGATTTAACAATTGCACTCACTCGTCGAAGCCTCCTGTGAATACTTCAAGTTCAGATTCGTCATCATCAGCAAACATGGTGATGTCCACGGAATAAGATCGTCCCTGAGAATTGACTTCATTTATGTATTCCAAGTTTGAAACAAAGTTTTTGTAATGTTTATTGTAATCTTCATCGTTGTCATATTGTTTGTTGTAGTCCTTAACAAATTTTTCGAACAATTTGGGAGCTTCCTTTAGATCATAGATTGGTGGATCTTCCTCAATCTCTGTTCCTTCATCTTCATTTCTTAAATTAGACTCTTTGTTTCCAATCTTTAAGCCCACTGCATTGAGTATCAGTACACATGATATTATTATTAAATATTTCATTTTATTAACAGGCAGTCAACCTTTTGATGATTGAGACGCGTCTGCTATTTATTTCTAATAACTTGAAATACGTTGATCTTGAGAACAAGTTACAACGCAAAGGTCATCCTAAATCTTACAACGTAATAAATAACATAGTTCCGTATTATTTTATAACATTGTATTACATTGATTGTGTGCGGGATAGCATCGTAGAAATAATATAGAATAAAATATATAGTTAAAATAAATAGCGATAGAAACTATGTAATATGTAATATAAGATATAATGTAAATAAACAGCTAAGTATAGTAAATAAATAATATAGAAAATATGTATAATGTAAAATAAGACACAACTTGTAACTGTAAAATGATCATGTACGCTCAACATCGCAAGCTCCTGATTGGGCGAGCGCCGGCGCGCTCGCTCAAACACCGGCAAGGCGCGGTGAGATCACCGCGCGGATATAAAAGGCCGGCCGACGGGCCGACTCAGGGCAGTCAGTGAGCGGAATTCATCGGAAGAACATCAGTCAGCGGAACTCAAGAACTACGGAAGACTTCAACAGCGAACAGTGAAACGGAAGATTATTAACAGTGTTCAGAATTGTAATTCGTGTAGAAAATAAATAGTGAATAACCGAACCAGCGCATAGTTTTAATGTACAAACCCGTACATTAAATGGTCCTTCGAGCCGGATAGTACAGAAGAATCGGTTATCGAAGAACACGAAGATCGTCAAAGAACACGAAGATCGTCGAAGAAATACGAAGATCATCAAAGAATGCCGATCACTCGCTCTGAAGGAAAAGGTCGGAAACTGCGATCAGTACAACAATCCTCGTCCGAGGAGACGACCACGGGGACATACGACACGGAGACTACGGAGACAACGCCTTCTACAATGTCATCAACGCCTACCGTAACAGGTGACGGCACCAGTGCCGCCGTCGCCCCACCCCCCGTTATCGCCGCAGTTATCGACGCATCCGCTACCTCGGTGAGAGGCGTTCAGTCAGTGACGCCCTCCGCCGCGCCTACAGTACAAGTGGAATCGAAGATGAAGCCGCCTGCTCGACCTGTCACCAGGGTTGACCCAGCAATCAACCAGGGAGCGGAACCTGGCCTGCCACTGCCGAGCGGCCAGCCGAAACCCCATACACCGAGCAAGAAGGGCTCGACAAAGTCTAAGGCTCATAAAATAGCCAAGGCCAGAGAGGAGATGCTCCGACTACAAGTGGAGCTCGCCGCAGCTCGTCTCGCCTCCTTAGAAACGGAGGACACAGAGGACGAGGAAGACGACGTGACGGTTTACTCTAAGGAGGAAGCAACCGACAAAGTCGACAGCTGGTTGAATAACCAGACCGACAAGCCGACGTTACCCGCAGAGCCTGTGCCAGTAGATGACAGGGCGGGACACGAAATACCGGTGCCGAAGCCAGTGGTTCAACAACAATCGACGGAGAGCAAGACAGATATCGCCGCCCTCGCCGAAGCAATCACACGTGCCGTGAGTTCGAGCCACCGACCGAGATTAACGGAACTGCCATACTTTGACGGATCGTATCAACAATGGTTACCGTTCCGTGCCGCATACTATGACAGTCATAGTCACTTCACAGCAGTGGAGAACACAAACCGCCTGAGAAGGGTTCTAAAGGGAAGAGCCAGAGAGGCGGTCGAGGGGCTGCTCATTACGAATACGCAGCCAACGGATATTATGAAGACTCTTGAATCAAGATTCGGGAGACCAGAGACCATCGCCATGATGGAGATGGAGGCATTACGAAGCCTAACCCGCCTCACAGAAACACCACGTGATGTATGTATTTTCGCCACCAAGGTGTCAAACATAGTGGCAACGTTGAAAACGATAGACTGTGTCAACTACTTGTACAACCCAGAAGCCTCAAAAACGGTAGTGGACAAGATGACACCAACGCTGAGATACCGTTACTACGACTACGCAGCGACACAGCCAAAGGAGGAACCGGATCTCATTGTAATGGAAAGATTCCTCAGAAGAGAGGCTGACCTATGCGGGAAGTACGCACAGCCGGAACAAGTCGCGGGTAGTACTCAGAAGAGAACCCAGAAGATTCTCAAACTGTCAGAAAAGCCATACACACCGAAGTGTCCAGTATGTGATACAACGGGACACCCAGTGAACGAGTGCGAAAAATTCAAACAATTGGAACTGAACGACAGATGGGAGACGGCTAAGGCCAAGCATCTGTGTTTCAGGTGTCTCCGCTACAGGAATAAAACACACCAATGCCACACGAAGGCATGTGGTATCAACAATTGCAAGCGTACACATCACAGAATGCTACATAAGATGGAACAAAGGCAAGCGGAGACACCTGAAGTAATAAATTCGACTTGGGTAACGGAAAGGAAACAGTCATATCTGAAGATTGTCCCCATAAGAGTGAAAGGACCGAAGGGCACATCGGACACATACGCCCTATTGGACGACGGGTCAACGGTCACTCTCATCGATGAGAGGCTGGCCAACGAAATAGGGGCGAAGGGACCCCGAGACCCGCTCAGAATAGAAACTATAAACGAGATGAAAGCATCAGAAACTGAGTCGAGGCGAGTCACCATAAGGGTAAAGGGAATCAGCAATGAAGAAAGACGAATCCCAGCACGAACGGTCAAGAACCTCAATGTGTCGTCTCAGCGAGTACCAAAGCAGCTGGTGGAACGATGCAGCCACCTAGCTGACCTAAAAGATCGCCTGTGGTACACGCACGCCAAGCCACAGATATTAATCGGCCAAGATAACTGGCATCTACTACTGGCCTCACAGACAAGAGTGGGGCGCAAGGACCAACCGGTGGCATCTCTTACGCCACTGGGATGGGTACTGCACGGAAGCCAGACAAGGACCCTCGGGAGGAACATCAACTTCACTTGCCACATAACCGAGGATCCTGAAGAGGGTTTGAAAGACCTCGTAAAGCGATACTTCGAGATGGACGCGCTCTGTCTGAATCCAAGGAGACCTAACACGGATCCCGAGGAGCGCGCGCTGCAGGTACTGGAAAGGAACACCGTACCAACCGACGACGGGAGTTACCAGACAAGCTTACTTTGGCGCAAGGAAAACATATCGTTTCCCGACAACTACGAGAGCGCGCTAAAGAGACTCCATGCCACGGAAAGGAAGATAGATCGCGACCCGAACCTCAAGCGAAGATACAACGAGCAAATGGACGCGCTCGTAGCCAAAGGGTACGCCGAGATAGCACCGAAGCATAAGACTCCGAACAAGACCTGGTACCTACCACACTTTGCGGTGATTAATAAGATGAAGCCGGACAAATTAAGAGTTGTTCATGACGCCGCAGCCAAGACGAAAGGGGTCTCTCTCAACGACATGCTACTCAAGGGGCCGGATCTACTACAATCCCTACCAGGAGTCGTTATGAAGTTTCGTCAGCACAAGATTGCAGTCACTGCTGACATAAAGGAAATGTTCATGCAAGTCAAGTTACGAACTGAAGATAGAGATGCACTCCGTTACCTATGGAGAGGAAACAGGAGGGATGACTCACCTCCGGAAGAATATAGGATGACGTCGCTCATATTCGGAGCATCCAGTTCACCGTCAACGGCAATATATGTCAAGAACTTGAATGCGAAGCAACAAGAGGACTCCTACCCGGAAGCCACGGAGGCCATAATCAACAAACACTATGTTGACGACTATCTGGACAGCTTCAAAACCATCGAAGACGCTATACGGATCACCAAGGACGTCCGAATAGTCCACAGCAAGGCGCACTTCGAGTTAAAACAGTGGAAGTCGAACTCGGCAACGCCTCTGGAAGCCTTAGGGGAAAGAGAGCTACCAAAGGACGTGGAACTACACACCACAAATGAGAAAACGGAACGCGTGTTAGGCGTGATGTGGAAGGTGAACTCGGACGAGCTCTCGTTTAACTTAAACTTGGCGGGCACACCCGCGGAAGAAGCGTCAATCAAAAGACCGACAAAACGAGAAGCCCTCAGGATCGTGATGTCACTTTTCGACCCGCTCGGGTTTGCATCTCCGGTGACAATCAAGGCCAAGCAAATTCTCCAGGAAGTCTGGCGAAGAGGGACGGATTGGGACGAGGAATTAGAGACAGATCTCGCCGAACAATGGCTCGAGTGGATGATCCACCTTAGAAATCTCAGCCAGGTCGCGATCCCGAGGTGCTACATGAATTACAGCGACGCAACCTCGCTGCAACTACACGTATTCACCGACGCGAGTGAGTCAGCTTACGCAACGGTGTTGTATTGGAGAACAACGATGCCAAGCGGAGAGATTAGGGTGTCGCTAGTCATAGCAAAAGCGAAAGTGGCGCCTTTAAAGCTCACATCAGTGCCAAGGCTAGAGCTGCAAGCCGCTGTCATGGGTACAAGACTAGCCACAACGGTAGTGGCCGAGCACGAGAGGAAACCCGACACCACAGTGTTCTGGTCGGACAGCAAAACGGTGCTCACGTGGATAAGGAAAGGGTCACGGTCTTACAAACCATACGTGGCCCATAGACTGGCGGCCATCGAAGACGGGTCGGAATCGAACAGCTGGCGGTGGGTGCCATCAAAGCTAAACGTCGCAGATGACGCGACAAGGGACGTACCACACAACTTCAGTACAGAACACAGGTGGTACAAGGGACCGGAGTTCCTGTACGAGCCCGAGGCCTCCTGGCCAACCGAAACACCCACGCCAGCCTCGGAAGAGGCTTCGAGCGAAGAGAGAGCACACCACGTGAGCACCAGGAATGCAACAAGACTAGCGGAAGGGCTACCAGACCCTGCTAGATTCTCCAGCTGGACGAGACTAAGACGCTCTACGGCCAGAGTCCTCCAATTCATCCACTTATGCAGGACGACTAACCAGGAGGTACACTACGCTCGGAACAAAAGGAACAAAGAAAGGGATCCAGAATGGATCAAGAAAAGGACACTGATTCCGAATAGGCCGCAGAGAGAACAAAAGAGACCACTGACCGTG